GGTCCCTCTGGATCCCATCCCTTCCCTCCCGTGCACAAACACAGCTCCGGGTCATCACAAACGTGCTGATGGTGCCTCCACCCATGTCCCTGCTCCAGAGCTATGAGATCCGCATCCCCGCTGACCAGGGCATCGCCGGGCACGTGGCCACCACCGGCAAGATCCTCAACATCAAGGACGCGTATTCCCACCCGCTCTTCTACCGCGGGGTGGACGACAGCACCGGCTTCCGCACCAGGAACATCCTCTGCTTCCCCATCAAGAACGAGAGCCAGGGTGAGGGCTGCTGGGGGCTGTCGCTGGCCCCTGGGACATGGGGTCCGTGCGTGGGGGTGTGGAAGGGTGCCCTGGTGAACGGGGACGGCATCATTCCCTGTACATGGGCACCATCCTGTCCCGAGAACATGGGCACAGCACTGTCCCTGTACATGGGCACCATCCTGTCCTGAGAACATGGGCACAGCACTGTCCCTGTACATGGGCACCATCCTGTCCCCAGCACATGGGCACAATCCTGTCCTTAGAATGTGGGCACTATCCTGTCCCCCCTGGTGGCACAGCGCTGTCCTCAGCACAAGAGCATCATCCTGTCCCGAGAGCATGGCCACCATCCTGCCCCCACCACATGGGCATGATCTTGTCCCCGGCATGTGGGCACCATCCTGTCCCCCAGCATGTGGGCACCATCCTGTCCCCCAGGATGTGGGCACCATGCCATCCCTGGTACATGGACATGATCCTGTTCCCAGCACATGGACATGATCCTGTCCCCAGCGCATGGGAACAACACTACCCCAGCATCTGGGTACCATCTTGGTGGCATGATCCTGTCCCTAGCACATGTGTACATAGTACATGGCCACAATCCTGTCTCCAGAACGTGGACATGATCCTGTCCCCAGTCTGGTGCACAGCTCTGTCCCCAGCACAAGGGCACAGCACTGTCCCTGTACATGGGCATGATCCTGTCCCTACCACATGGGCACAATCCTGTCCCAGGAACGTGGGTACCTCACTGTCCGCATTACACAGACACCAGCCTGTCCCCAGCCCTTGGGCACAGCTCTGTCGCTGGGCACCATCCTGCCCCCTACAGACAGACACAGCACGGTCCCCAGCACGTGTGCACAGCACCGTCCCTGGTACATGGGCACCATCCTGTTCCCAGCCCATGGACACGCAGGTCCCCAGCATAGGGGTGTGATCCTGTCCCTACCTCATGGGCACAATCGTGTCCCCAGCACCACCTGAGCACCATCCTGGTACATGGGCACATCTCCTGTCCCCAGCCCGTGGGCCTGATCCTGCCCCTGTCCCCCTCTCCCTGCAGAGGTGATCGGGGTGGCGGAGCTGGTCAACAAGATCAATGGGCCCTGGTTCAGCAAGTTCGATGAGGACCTGGCCACCGCCTTCTCCATCTACTGTGGCATCAGCATCGCCCATGTACGAGCTGGGGGTCCCCGACACGGGGGGACAATGGGGGCCCAGGACACAGTGCACAGGGATGATGGGGGACATGTGTGTGGTCCCCGCTCCTTTGGGACAAGTGGTGGTGGTGATGGGATGGAATGGGATGAAATGGGGTGGGTTGGGATGGGATGGGATGGGATGGGATGGGATGGGATGAAATGGGATGGGATGGATGGGGAGGGAACACACGGATGTGCTGGCAGACTGGAGGGTACTGGGGGGCTTTGGGGGGCTCTTCCCACCCCAGTGCTCCCATAACCCCCCTCCCACCCCACAGTCTCTGCTCTACAAGAAGGTGAACGAGGCGCAGTACCGAAGCCACTTGGCCAACGAGATGATGATGT